CACTTTCTCAAAAGTACCTTGAAATCAAACATTATATCCACTTCATTATACACTTACAAGAAAGTTGTTTATACATGAATTCACTTTAACATGTTCTTCATATTACAAATATTTATCATATAACATATCAATTACATATTATCCACTACTCTATCATGTACTCTTCTCCGCAAGCGTCCAATGCGCTACCTCCACAACCTGAACCCAAATATACAACACATACAAGGAAAGACAGAGGGAGTAAGAACCAACTATGGCGACCGTAGCGTGGATTTACATGAAGTAATAACATTAAAGTATTAAAACCACACACATCTAACGTCAATCATGATAAGCATATATCAATCAACACATATTATCCATATTCATCCTATAGTACACATATATCACATACTATATGTGTTCTATAGTGTGCATACTTATTCATCACGTATTATCCATATTCACCCTATAGTACACATACATCCCATACTATATGTGTTCAATAGTGTGCATGTTTATTTATCACATATTATCCATATTCACCCTATAGTACACATACATCCCATACTATATATGTGCTATAGTGTGCATATTTTATTCGTCCAAATATACTCATTTCTCATCATTCATATTCACCCTATAGGATATATATCCCATAATATATATCCTATGGCATGCATATGATTTTCATTCCGAGTATACACTCTTCACATCCTTCACATTCCGTAGTAATTTACCCTTGATCTCGTTCAACAATTCTGCTCCGTACAAATAATCTCCATACCACATCGAGCAGGTCGAGTAATCCCCATACCACATCGGGTAGGTCGAGTTTCCACATTACACTCACATCCATGTCATACAAAATCAACACAAGGCATCTCATTATTTTATCACCATAAATAACATACAACACCTTCATTGTCACAAACATACCTTTATCCATTTTAACACATTCACAGCTCATCACACATTCATTATTACAACACACCTATACATGTTTATAACAATCAACCACTCACAACATACTCATTTTGATAAACATACTCATATCCATTTTAACACATTCACAACTCATCACACATTCATTGTTACAACACACCCATACATGTTTATAACAATCAACCACTTACAACATACTCATTTATGCTTATGACCATAAATATCTCACACACCATCATTACCACACAACATAACCATTATCATAAACAAACCACGCATAACATATTCTTCATCATATATACATTAACGTTAGAACCATCTTTAATGACGGTGTATTACCATAAATGAGCATATAGTGTTTCACTCAAATAAACGGTTTTCCCCACACATATATCTTCACTTTTATGGCTAATACATCCTCATGTAAAATAAAGACTCTCACATGGACCACAAACTCCCAAGAGAGTTTCTATCCGTTAATATGCTCCGATTCTTGAGGGAAATCGGAGAAGATGACTCTAATGAAATACTCTAAGACCACAATGGTCTTCTCCCTCACCTTAGGTTGAGTAAGCTCCATGGATCCGCAAAGAGCTCCATCTCCCTCCATCTCCTTCAACCTCCATTGTTGCTTTTTCCTCTCCAAAGCTCTCTAATGTTCCATTAAGAAGCAAGTGGAAGAGGTTTTGATGTGTTTTTGAGGTTTAGAGGAGGAATGAGTTAGAATCTATGGGGAGCCGCCGTTGGGAGTGAAAGGGGAGAAAAGAAAATGAAGATTAGGGTTTGTGAAACCCTTTCTTTTCTTTTATAGCTGGGCACTCTCGCCCGGGCGAGAATATCTCGCTTGGGCGAGAAACCCACGATATTTTAAGTTTCCAGACACGGGCTCTCTCGCCTGGGCGAGATTCTCTCGCTCAAGCGACCCATTCCTCGCTTGGGCGAGACTCCCAGAATTTCCAAATTCAAAACAGTGATCCTCTCGCTTGGGCGAGATCCTCTCGCTCAAGCGAAAATCTGACAGTATGCCCCATTCTTCAGGACTGTTACCTAATTTCAAGGAGGATAAATTTGGGGTGTTACATAAAACCGTATGACTTGGCAAGGCAAATGCCAATGTCCAAATACATTCGGCATGTGCTTGATATGCACATTCACAATAGCTTTTAATTTCAAATTTCAAATGGGAGCCTCACGGCCAGCCCACATACTATATGTAAGAATCATATACATGAAATGAAGCACCTTGAATTTTATGCAAAAACATATTAGTGAGAATTATCTCCTAAGTTTCTTGGTTGAACCAAAAGTATTGTTCTTATCAAACATCCTTGTTTGTGGCGAACTTCCTTTAGGCTTATCAAACAAAACCTTGTTTGTGGTCCATCCATCTTCTATCTTCTTCATCTTCTTTTATCCTTCACAACCTCAAATAACCACCAAACCCCGACCTCAGAAACCCAAACACAATCCAACTGAGCCAAATACAAAGCCATGGCCTAAACACAACCACAAATCTCACCGAGACATTCAAGCCTAAATACTTAACCACTCTCGGCCAAACACTCAAACCCACACCTTAGCCTAAACACTTAACCACTCTCGGCCAATAAAACACCCATACACAACCTTAAACTGCCGATAACCAAAAGCCAACCGAAACTCACATAAAACAACCAAAACAATCAATAAAAAGTCTTCTTTGTAACACCCCGAATTTTAGTCTTTAAAAATTAGAGTATCAGTACTGGAAGCCTCGCTTGATCCAGAGATTCTCGCTTGAGTGAGAGAGGTGCATCTGGGAGGGTGAAATCTTGGGCTATACTGGAGGATTCTCGCCTGAGCGAGAGTTGTATCACCCGAGCGAGAAATGGCAATTTTGGGCAGTGTAATCGATTACACAGTCCATGTAATCGATTACATGCAGATAAAAAGCATCAGATATGTGTATTTTACATGATGTAATCGATTACACAATACATGTAATCGATTACATGCAGATAAAAGCATCAGATATCTGCATTTTACATGATGTAATCGATTACACAATACATGTAATCGATTACATGCAGATAAAAGCATCAGATATGTGTATTTTACATGATGTAATCGATTACACAATACATGTAATCGATTACATGCAGATAAAAGCATCAGATATGTGCATTTTACATGATGTAATCGATTACACAATACATGTAATCGATTACATGCAGATAAAAAGCATCAGATATGCGTATTTTTCACGTTGTAATCGATTACACCATGTTGGTAATCGATTACAACCCGATGACACCTCTTTAAAACAGAAACCCAAACACATTTTTGGGTTAGAACTTCGAAGAGAAGAGAGAAAGGAGAGCTTTTCAAGAGCAAGGAGCCTTAGGACTCATCTTGGAGCTTGAGAAGAGGTAAACCTCTTATTACTAACTCTTCTTCTTCCTCTCTAACTTGTTTTGGGTATGTTGGATTTATTTTCAAAACATGAGAAACCATGGAAACTCATTCTTTAGAGTTATGGTTCGTTTTATGTTGTTTTTATCTTGTAAACTCTTGGTTTAGAGTTGGTATTTGATGAATGGAAAGTTTTATGGGTTATTCATGAAAAACCCCCAAAAACCCCCAAAATGAGAATATGAGTATAAAGAGAAAGAGATGAAATGTTAGATGTGGATAATGAGTAGTGCTTTAATGTTGTTATATGAGATGAACATGTATGTTTTGATATTTAGAAACTTGTATTGAAATAGTTTTGGAAATATTGAAATATGAGATGTTATGCATGTTTTAGATGGTTGAATATTGATGATGAATATTTTGTATGATTAAATGAGGCAAAATAAGTTGTTTATGTGATATTAGGAATAAATGACTAACATTGTTGTTATTGGTGGAAATGAGGAAAGATCCTAAGGTTGGAGGAAATCGCGGAGTAGACTTTTAAAGTTACTCGGAATTGATCTCCAACGCTCACCGAGGTAAGGGATAAGTGACTCTAATTCATACTCACTGATGTGAACGAGGTATGTGAAAGAGGTAATGTGTTGTAAGTTTGATTGTTGTTACCCTACCCGAATAGGGAGTGGTTTATTGTTGTTACCCTACTCGAAGAGGTAGTGGTGGACTGTTATTGTGTCCTACCCGGAGTGGTAGTGAACTGTTTGTTGTGTCCTACCCGGAGTGGTAGTAGACTGTTATTGTGTCCTACCTTAAATGGTAGCGGACTGTTATCGTGTCCTACCCGGAGTGGTAGCGGACTGTTGTTGTGTCCTACCCGGAGTGATAGTGGACTGTTATTGTTATCCTACCGGGAATGGTAGTGAAGAATTGTGAACTAGACCTACCCGATGTGGTATGGAGTATAACACTAGACCTACCCGATGTGGTATGGAGCATAACACTAGACCTACCCGATGTGGTATGGAGTATAATACTAGACCTACCCGATGTGGTATGGAGTATAACTAGACCTACCCGATGTGGTATGGAGCATAACACTAGACCTACCCGATGTGGTATGGAGCATAACACTAGACCTACCCGATGTGGTATGGAGTATAATACTAGACCTACCCGATGTGGTATGGAGTATAACTAGACCTACCCGATGTGGTATGGAGTATAACACTAGACCTACCCGATGTGGTATGGAGTATAACACTAGACCTACCCGATGTGGTATGGAGCATAACACTAGACCTACCCGATGTGGTATGGAGTATAATACTAGACCTACCCGATGTGGTATGAAGTATAACTAGACCTACCCGATGTGGTATGGAGTATAACACTAGACCTACCCGATGTGGTATGGAGCATAACACTATACCTACCCGATGTGGTATGGAATATAATACTAGACCTACCCGATGTGGTATGGAGTATAACTAGACCTGCCCGATGTGGTATGGAGTATAACTAGACCTGCCCGATGTGGTATGGAGTATAACTAGACCTACCCGATGTGGTATGGAATATAACAGTAGACCTGCCCGATGTGGTATGGATGATGAACTAGACCTGCCCGATGTGGTATGGATGATGAACTAGACCTGCCCGATGTGGTATGGATGATGAACTAGACCTGCCCGATGTGGTATGGAGATGTAATTTGATCTACCCGAGGTGGTAGGAGATTATAGTGTGAAAGAACTCGGTGAATACGATTAATGATGAATACGACATATGAGAAACAAGGACGTTAAGAGCGAAAGTCATATGCATGCTATAGGATATATATTATGGGATATATATACTATAGGGTGAATATGAATGTTGGAAATGAAGACGTTAAGGATAAAAGTAATATACATGCTATAGAATATATATTATGGGATATGTATTCTATAGGATGAATATGGATAACGTAGAAATGAACGAAAGAAGAGATGAATGTTTGCATTTACGTAATTGCGTTTATAATTTATGTTAAAGTTTAATCGTATTTGAAATGTGGATTATCATGTGATGTTAGTTTTTAAACTAATGACTTACTCCCTTTTGTTTTGTGTGTCGTTTATGATAATCCCATTGTAGGTAAATGAAGGACTTTGAGGATGAAGCTCAATTAGGAAGCTTTTGTGTTTAATTACTCGCTTGTCTGTATTGCTAAGTGACGTTGTAGTTGATTTAATAGTATTATGTGATGACTGTAAATCCGTTTAGATCAATACGGATATGTGTAGTTATGGGCTCTATAACCTTGGGAGACCCATAACTGGTTGTATGTGGTAAATGCTATTTGAATGAATTATGTTTTTCCGCAACATAAATTTGTATGATAAGAAAATAGGGTAAAGAGTATTTTCGAAAATGATACTTGAGAGTTTTCAATGAAGGTGACGACTGTATGTAAGAAATGATTAAAATAAACGAAAAATTTTCAAGGGTAGAATTTGGGTCCTTACATTCTTGACTCATAAGCTCAACTTCAAGCAAAACGATCATACAAAAATACCAACCCCCACAAGGAGGTTGCTATCATCATATTTAAGTGAAACACAATTCAGTTATGTAGAGACATGTGACTGTGTAGTTGAAGCATTGTTTGTGTAATTCAAACATTGGCCATGATTACCATGACCAGGTTGTGGGGCACTCATGTATGCGTACTTGAAGTGTGGTCTAACATATGACCATGTGGACAATGTTGGACTTGCAGAACCAAAGGTTCTATTACTTACAAGAAGAAGAGAAAGAAATCGAGAGAGAATAAGAGGTTTTTGTGAGTGAATGAAATCTTTCTATTATTGCAATGGTTTTAACTAGTTTTCCAACTGATACATTCTATTTATAGTAAGTAAACTTAAACTACAAACTAACCCTTCTACCCAACCCATTTACAAAGCTCATTAAGTCTAGATTATGAATTACATTCAACACATTGTCTACCTTAATTCAAACAAGCTAGACTTAACATACTCCGATTTAACTCATTTGCTTCTCAAAGGCTTCCTTCTTCAATGTCTTGGTTAATATATCAGCTTGCTGATCTGCAGAGTTGCAGAACACAAGCTTCAGATTTCCTTTTTCTACTTGGTCTCTCAAGAAACGATACTTGGTGTCAATGTACTTGCTACGACCATGTGAGACTGGATTTTTAGCCAAATTGATTGCTGACTTGTTGTCTATAAGCAACACCATTGCATCACCACAACACACACCAATCTCCTTCAAAAGAGATTGTAGTCACAATCCTTGACAACCACCCAAGCAAGCTGCAATATATTCAGCTTCACATGATGAGAGAGCCACTACTTTTTGCTTCTTTGAGCTCAAGCTAACAAAAGCTTATCCAAGCTTAAACAAGTACCTTGTGGTGCTCTTTCTCTCATATTTGTCTCCACTCCAGTCTGAGTCTGTGTAGCCATACACAGTTCTTTGTTTGTTATTAAGGATGGCAATGGGTATCCGGATCCACGGGTACCTGCTAAAATTACCAGCAACGGGTCGGGTCTGGGTCCATATTTTGGACCCGTGGTTAATTGAGACCCGCAATTTTAAGACCCGCTGTTAGATGAGTCTGGATCCGGGTAATGAGGTACCCAGACCCGTGGGTATTCGGACCCGCTATTTCTTCCTAAATCTATATGTATATAGCAATAATTATAATATCATGTTAATCTATATTGTAATATTATATTAATCCATAATTATAACATCATATTAATTCATAAGTTTGATTGCTATGTTGTTAAAGTATGTTTTTATATATATGATATAATGTTATGTTAATTAAAAAGTTCTTACTACATGAATTTTTCATCCTAATGTTGGAGTTGCTTTTAATGTTTGTTTGAGTAAAATAAGTTGTATTTAATAATCAAATTAAGTTGTGTTTAAAATTTTAAATTAAGTTTTATAATTTTTATCTTCTTGATTGTCTAAATAACATATAAGATTGTAAGAAATAAATATACAAGTGCATAAATTAATTACAATTAATTTTAATATTTTTGAATTTATGGTTACTCATTGATCCGCTGGGTACCCAAGGACCCGCGGGTAGTATACCCAGCGGGTATTAGCATAGGTCTGGGGCGGGTCTGGGTCCAAAAAAGAAGCAACAGGGCGAGTCCGGGTAAGACACTACCTGGACCCATCCAAACCCATTGCCATCCCTATTTGTTATCTAAGTTGTTAGGGAATAATATACCAAAGTCAATGCTTCCCTTGAGGTACCTTAGAATTCTTTTCACAACAATCAAGTGAATATGCCTAAGATCTTCCATGTATCTACTTACTAGGCCAACACCATAGGTTATGTTTGGCCTAGAATTGCATATGTATCTCAATGATCCTATCATTCGTCTATAGGTAGTTGAATCCACAGCTAGATCATTTGAGTTTCCTTTGCAGAGTTAGTTTCCAGTCTCTACTGGTGTGTTTGATGAGTCACAACTAAGCACATCAAACCTTTTTCAATATGGCAATGATGTATTTCTTCTGATGCATCAAAATTCCTATGTTTGTTCTTACAAATTCAATCACAAGGAAGTATGATAGTGTGCCCAAGTCAGACATTTCAAACTCTGACTTTAGTTTGCTTTTGATGGAGTCTATCTCTTCATTTATGCATCATGTTATCAAAAGATCATTCAGATACAAGCATATGATTATTGATGCTTCTGTGGGTGTGTCTTTTATATAGATCTCATGCTCACTGATGCATCTGTGTAAGCCTTGCTGCAGCAGAAAGCTATCTATTTTTTTGTTCCATGCCCTGGGTGCTTGATTCAACCCATAGAGTTCCTTGTGAAGTTTGTAGACCTTCTGTTCTTGACCAGGAACCTCAAAACAAGAGGTTGAGTCACAAACACTTTTCTGTTTAATGGACCATTCAAGAATGTTGATTTTACATCCATTTGACTTAGACTCCAATCCTTTGAGCTTGCCATAACTATCACAAGTCTCACTATCTCCATCCTTGCTACTGGTGCAAACACTTCATCAAAGTCTGAGCCATGTTTTTGTAAGAAGCATTTTGCAACCAACCTAGCTTTATACTTAGCCATTGTTCCATCTGGTTTCAACTTCACCTTATACACGCACTTTACTGAGATTGCTTTCTTTCCTTTGGGCAACGTTGTAAGTTCCCAGGTGTTGTTCGTTTCAATTGAATTAATTTCCTCCTTCATAGCCTCAATCCAACACACTTCCTTAGTTGCTTGTTCAAAAGGATAGGTTTCATCTCAACTAGTAGTTCCATGTGCACTAACTCTCCTTCTGTAGTGATTGAGGTATCAGAGAAGACCTCATTGTCCCTTAATCTTGATGGCAACTACTCTTTATGTCTCTGTGGTCTTTCAGCAATGTTTGAATGAGCCTCTCTAGTTATACGCTCCTCCACTGTTCTTTAAGCAGCATCAATATCCATCTGGCTCACCTTGTCTAAAGATGCATTGCTTGCTTTGCTTGAGTCCCAGACCCATGATTGAGTCTCATCGAATATAAGATCTATTCTATATGTCATGGCCTTGGAATCTGGGTTGTAGACTTTGTATGCACCTGTGGAATGATATCCTAGGAAGATTAGCTTTTCCCCTTTAACATCCAGCTTCTTTCTCTTATTGTATGGGATGTGTCTATAGCAGATTGACCCAAAAACTTTGAAGTTTTTCACACTTGGTTTAACACTTGACCAAGCTTCTTCAGGAGTCACTTTCTTCAACCTTTTTTTTGGGCATCTGTTTATTATGTGTGTTGCAGTAACCATAGTTGCACCCCGAAATTTCTTGGGCAAATTCTTTGTTTTTAACATACTTCTTGCCATGTTAAGAACAGATCTGTTGACCCTTTCTGCTGCACCATTATGTTGTGGAGTATAGGGAGCAACTACTTCATGGATAATGCCTTCTTCATCACAGAATCTTTGAAACTCATGGCTTGTTTATTCTCCACCTCCATCATGTCTTAATAGCTTCAACTTGTTGCTACATTGCTTCTCAACAAGTGCCTTGAAGCTCTTGAATTTTTTGAAGACTTTACTCTTTATTTTCAACAAGTAGATCCAAAGCTTTCTTGTGAAGTCATCCTTGAAGGTCACAAAGTAGTTGTTTCCTCCAAGTGATTGAACTTCAAAGGGTCCACACACATCAATGTAAACTACTTCCAATGGTTTTGTTGTTCTTGATGCTATCCGAGTCTTGAATGAGTTCCTTGATTGCTTGTTTGTGACACACTCTTCATACAATCCAAATGGAACCTTCACATTAGGTAGACCAGTTACCATTTTGTCTTTGCTTAGTAATTCTAATCTTTTGAAGTTCATATGACCCAATCTTTGATGTCATGTCATTGTTTTTTATGCTATGGTATCTAGACACTTGTCATCACCAAGATGAATGCCAATCTTGAAAGTCCTATTATGTGAGAAATGAGCTTTCAAGATGAGTACCTTTCTCCTGTTGAAAATCTTCAACATTTTGTCCTTCATTCTCATGATATAGCCTTTTTCAAGTAGTTGACCCATGCTTATCAAATTGTTCTTCATTCTTGGCACATATAGTACATTTGAGATGTATGAGGCTGTACCATCTCTCTTATAGATCATGATTCTTCCAATTCCTTCTGCAATGATAAAGCTATCATCTGCAAATTTCACCTTTGTCTTCACTGAATCATCAAAGGTCATGAACCATTCCTTATGTTTAGTCATATGGTTTGAGCATCCTGTGTCTAAGTACCAACTGAGCACTAAGTGCATGTTGAGATTGTTCTGTCTAATTGCCTATCCACGAATTTCTGATCATGGGCTTCAAGTGACCCTGCAACTCATCAATCTTGAGGATTTCCAAATCCTTTGATTCCTCAATTGTAACCACTATATGATCAAACTTAGCAGAGAGTGTTCTAAGGATATTCTCAACTATTCCTTGCTCAGGCATATTCTCATCATAGCTCCTCATGACATTGGTTAAGGCACGAATTCTTGTGAAGTTAGTCTGCTATGGTTTCTTGTTCCTCCATTTGCAGCAGCTCAAATTGCCTACGCATCATCTGCAACCTTACTTTCTT